TTCCAGTTGTCTTTTTTTAAAATCTGTGTTACTTTTTACAATTGTTTGGTGTACATCTTCTCTTCTGTAAAATGAAATGGAATACTTAATGTAAGTTTTGTAGTTATTTTAGAAATTTACAAAGTATTCTAGAGTAATAAAAGTGCACTTAACCTTGTACACCAATTAAAGAAATATTTTTTAATTATTTTTAAATCAATTCATATTAAACTTTGCTTTTAATATTTGAAAACATGAAACAATTTTCAGTGTTTAAATACTAATTTTCACATTTTAAAAAGTATGTAATGTATCAGACTATGTAATTTTTTCAACTTACCTATTTTGCAAGCTATTTTTCCTGTTTTTAATTTTTGTTATACCCCTAGTAATAATATCTTTATTGTTGGTTATTTTCACCATTTTGGCACTTTCTTCTGTATCTGTAGTTGGATCTATCTCTAAAAATTAATATAAATAAAACAGTTTTAGAAAATTAACATTTATAATATTTACAAACTTGTATGCATATGATTGTAACTATAATAATAATATATTTTGCTTTTTAATAAATATTCAATCAGTATTATTTACCTTGCACATATACAACATTGGGTTCTGGATTTTCTACATTTTTAACTATAGCTGTGTCTGTTCTTTCAAAATTAAGGCGAGGCTTAGGGTCAGCAACTTCTTTTGATGTTGTAGCCACAGTCACTGGATCCTAAAATAAATCATTAAAAAATTTATTAACATGTTTTCCTGTCACCTGTCATCTCTATTTTGCCCTTTATTGAATCAGGTATTTTCTATGTTGTAGAAATATTATTATGATCCAAGACAAAAGGTAATTTAATAAATTATTAATTATAATACCTAATAGACAAAAATAGAAAATTATAATCGGACTGTGTAGATAATCTAGTAAAATGTGTGTTATGATATTATATAGACCACTATATATGAATTTGTGACATTTCAATTTTGAATATAATTAATTATAAAGAAATTTATGTTAAATTGTTACTAAGTATATTAAATTTTGAATATTCGGAAAATAATTTTGGATTGTAAATTGTATGCTTTAAGAGTAGATTTCAGAGCACTACCTAGGTACTAAAGTAATGGAAAATAAAGTTCTTTAATTTTAATTAAATTTGTAAGACATGTAAGTAATTTTATTTACCACTGCATCACTATCATAATTATTAACTTCAACGATAAAGTCGTGAGGGGCAATGGAAATTATTTCCAAGTCCTCAAGAGAAGGTGATGGAGGTTTTCCGCCACCCCCGGTCTTTGATTGTTCCCTCCTATATGTGTATAAGTTTGATTTAGCACACAACTTCATTCTTTTCCAAGATAATTTCAATTCACCATCTGATCGGCGTTTACCTGTTATCTCATTAAATCTAAAAAAAAAATACGAAATCACGTAAACAATACCGTACCTATTTGCACACAACAAATGCGATAAGTACTTACTTATTAGTTATATTCTTCCACTCTTTTATTTTTTGAATATTTACCGATGTTTTTGTCGACTTATTCTCTATTATATGTGCTGATTGTGAAATAAGTGTACGTAATATTTCCTATAATAATAAGAACATTCCTTTTAGTTGAAATAAGGATAATAGGAGGATAAGAGTATTGCTACGTACTGACAAATAAATTTCGATATTTCACTAACTTTTTCTTCAGAACTCCAATTTTCACCCCGTTTTTTCTTTTGTTCCATTATTATATAAATATAACTGTAATAGCAAGTCCTTAATTAATTATTAATAATTTAATTTACTTATTATAAGGCTGCAATATAAACTATTTTGAACGTCTCGAATCCCGCGCTCGCGTTACCTCTGTAATTCACTACATTTCACGCTAGAGTTGTTAAACTGAAAACAACTTGATATAATCAAAAGTATATGTCGTGCTTGTTCAATAGATTTTAACGTAAACAAATAACAATGTATGATATGTTTTTGTATTGATGGATAATTATTTAAGTATAATTAAATGTGAAAATAATATTAATATTTTATGAAACCGAACGTTGCATTGAATGAAACCTGTATGAACGAATGATAGTGTCATTTTTTGTTTTTTATCTGTGAATGATATTTAATAAAATACTAACGTTGGTATTAACTGGTCCTCGGGTAGTCTGCGTTTTGTAATAAGCACACGTTTTGGTGCTGGTATTAACTAGAATATTGTAACAAACCTGGACTTCTTACTCCTAAACTTAACCCAGTACTAAAACATTTTTTTGGAATAAGACTGTACGCGTTCAGACGGACGTCTCTGGTACATTTAGTTTGGACCGTAGAGCAAATCAGAACATGACATTTCTTTTTTTTTTTAATATGCATTGGATATAGCCAAAGGAATAATTTTATTTCAGCCTAGTATATAATAATGTATATACTAATATAATATTTTTATATATATAATTTTAATTACTATATTTATTATTATTATTTCATTATGAAGAAGGAGGATTCGTAGAAATAAAATGCATTGTATATATTATTTATTATATGATTTATTTTTTTAACTTTTTTAAACTCGTTTATTGCTCTTTTTTGCATTGGTGGCAATGTACACTTTTCGATTCTAATGATGCCTGTGCCTTTCAGAATCCCATCTGTGATATATTATGTTATAGAGTAAACATATAATTGCTCTCTTGCTGCTTGCACTTGAATATTTTCAGTGGAAAGGTTCTCTTTAATACATTCGATATCCAGTGTGTTGAGCTGGAAAAAGGAATATTTAAATATATAAATTACAAGTTTTAATATTTGCGCTAATTGTAATTGTTGTTGTTTATAAATGTTTGCATAGAAAATGTCAAGACAAGAAGAGGCTATTGTAATCAGATAAAATTACTTTCACATAAATCTAAGAATCTTTCGCAATTATACAGAAATTTCCAATAATTTTTGAACATAATTATCATTTTTTGATAGAAGGTTGGGAGGATAAAAGTATTTGTAAAGTAGCCAATTATCTATTGAAGTCTATGTTCATGTTCTACTGCTGGGCACATACTCTGTCTCATTTCTCAAGAGGGGTATGAAACAATGAGTTAGGCAAGGTGCTTTTTTAAAAAAAAAAAGCGTTACCCCCACACTAGGATTTTCTCCTGTATCGTGGAGGCAGTTTCCAAACATATATTGCACAAAGACAAACATACAGACCCGGAACAATTATTTGTAGGCCGTACAAATACTCGTTCCGTGCGGGATTCGAACCCGCGGCTCCAAGCATTGCAACTCATTGCTAAGCCACTACGTCACAGAGCCGGTGACTACATCTATAAAATATTCTTATTCCTTAGACACACAGATTTCGTCACAACGTTCCAGAACATGATAAATTAGCACTTAAAATTGGAATTAACATTAATGCATTTATTTCAGTGGTGTAGACAGAGATCAGATTTGCTCAAAAATATAAACATATTACTATTCCTAATAAAAATATTATCTGAACTAAAGTTTTAGAATGGTGATTGTTTTGCAATTTAAATTTTACATGATTATTACCTTAATTTTTTTACTTCGTTGGGAATCACATATTCATCATTTAGTTTATCTAACAAGCACAAATCAGTATGCTTGCAGTCTGTTCAGTACACATCATCTTGCCATTTTGATACATTTCCATCAGTTATTATGTGTTTTGACAGCAAAATTATTCCTCATACCTTTTTTTGATAATGGCTGATCAAATATCACACTAAGTTTATTTGAACTGTAACTGAAATATAAACATAAAAGATTGTTTGTCATTCAGATAGCCTTGATTTTGTAATTATTAAGACTAGAGGTGTGCGATTGTGCATAAAATAATGATGAATATTAATTATTTAAAATAATAGAATTCATCATTTACTTCAGCCATTATCTCAAAATTTTAGTAGATTATTATAATAAGAATTTATTATTATATTTCATTCATCATTCATTAATTGCAGACTGGTAAACATAGGCCTTCATAGGTTATCTTATAAGGTGTACATTTTCCATAGTTGTAACACTTGGCAGAGAGGTTGGCAACCAGTTTATTATTATTACTAAGTTGTTATCAAAGAGATCACTTGAAATGCCAGGAATTAAGTAGTTTTATTCAATGTACAGTACTCCCGTACATCTTTATTATAATTTTTTAAATTTTATATGTGTACTGAATATACTGAGCAGTTATGTTTATTAAGAAATAATTAAATTGTACATACCTTTATCATCTTTGATGATAAACCTAACTCAATTTACTCCAAAGAATAGTGTTGAGTTTATCCAACCTTTTTAGCCTTATTAATGTCAGATTTAACAGTATGAAACCCTTTATTCAAAAATTTTGTGACCAAGCAGGCTTCTTGAAAAGGTTACTGGAATGCAGAATAAGTTTGTCATAGTTTATAAAGTCCAACCACTTGTTTCTTTGACCTTCGTCAGACTCTTCTTTGTTACTTGCACAATTGGGAATGAAACACTTAAAAATACATTTTAGAACTAAAAATTATATACAAAATACACTAAAGCTAAAGAAAACGTCCCGTCGAAATATATAACCTATTAAACAATAAACAACCTTTCGTAAAATAGCAGTAAAATGCCAATAAAACTTTATTTATAATTTATAGTTATAATATAGTTATAGTTCATACTTCATAGAAAAACAAAACAAAAATTAGCTTGCTACATATTTATTTATCTATGATAAAAATTTCCAAGAAAACTTCTAACTTGACAGCTACGTGACAATAACATGACAAAATGGCGGCAGCGGGAAGGGGCAAGAGATGGGAGGGACGAGGGAAACGTCATGTTTTGAATTGCTCACTGCATTTCATACGGGCAAAGATTTTTGCGCAAAGATTACCAGCTGTGATATCTATTTATCTATGGTCCAGTCTGCCTGTGTACTTTTCTACGTTTACATTCATTTAGTTACTATTTAATTGGAATTCTTATTAATTGCATAATTGTTTTTCTTGTAATTAATTGATTATGGGTATTAAGGAAGCTGTAATTTACTTGGATAATGAATTTAATACTTACTATGCTGGGCAAACTATTAATGGAAGGATAGAATATGTCTTTGATAGCCCAAAAAAAGTTCGTGGTGAGCAATCGCACCTAAGAAATTTTGACTTCTGAGTCATCTTTTATTCATAGTGTTATTGATATAATATAATAATGGAACGCGTTTTCGTGATTTTAACCATTAGTAAACCTTGTTACTCTAGGTATTCATGTAAAGTTCAAAGGAGAAGCTCATACGGAGTGGTCTGAAAGTAAACAAGAAGAAGATACTCAAGGCAAAACGCAAACTACTGATGTTATGCATACTGGAAATGAAGAATATTTTCAAATATCTTATTATTTACTTGGAAATAATTCAGGTAATTAATTATAGAGCTGTCCTATTAGATTATTCTTCACGAACATTATCTACTAGAGGTATAATGCATATTATCCTAGATTTTTAATTTTTATTTTTTTGTGTAACATGAGCATAAATGTCTATTTTAGTTATAGAATATCTATGCTGGTTGCATAATGTATATGTAACTTTTTAGTACCTATTAGTATTTTTTAACACTACGGTACTCGCGCCTCAAAAAGGTTCATGAGTGCTCACGTGGGCTACCCTTGTAGCCCATTTAAAATTGAAATATAATGAAAGATAACGGTTTTATTTTAAAATAAAACATTATTTTTATTAATGACAATTATTAAGTAAACTGAAATAAAAAATATTATCTTCTCTTTCTTAAACTAAAAAAATTAACTAAACTTCAGACCTCTTAAAAAATTACATAATTTTTACTTCTTTAAGATCAATCAACTTTTGATTTAATTTCTAACTTAGTTCTTAAAAAAAAATTCAATTTTCATTACACAAAGGACAAATGAAAATTTTGTAATCAGTACATATACACCTGTAGCATTTTGAGCAAGTTTTTCTGGTGCTGCAATCGTGAATTCTGTTACAAAAAGCACAGCGTGCAACCCCGCCACAAATTAATAGTTTGGCTTTTGTTTTAATGCTTCCTGGAACATTATCCTGATAAATTTGTTCAAAAATTAATGGTTTCACAAGCTGAAACCCCAAAGACTGAATAAAAATGTGTCTGATGATGTTTTTGTTTGAATTATTCAACTGATGAATAGCTAGCCCATTTATAGTGGCAATATTTAAAAAAATAAAAAATAATGTAAGAGGCCATCGCCTACTATTTCTAGACACGTCATATTGACGACACATCCTGTCTTCAATATCCACCCCACACTTTGTGTGGTTATAAAATGTTATAATTTCAGGCTTTTTTGCGTCGCCAGTAGTAGCATCTATTGCTTCATTGTGGTGCATTGTTGACAATAATAAAACTGTTTTGTTCCTTTTTGGCACATAACTGACTAGTGTGCATTCTTCCTGAAACCCAAACAAAGAACTATTTATTTGTCGGCCCTAGCTAGTCTTAAAATTTGAGGGTATTTCTGGCTTGTTACTCTTGAGAGTACAGACAACAGTAATTCTTTTTTCCAAAAGCTGCAATACCACTGGATAACTGGTAAACCAGTTATCCATCGTAACATTACATCTCATGTTTGTAAGCAGCTCTAGTAATCTTTTGGTGACGTCTGCAACTTTGTTGGATACACGAAATGGGCCTTCTGGTTGTTCACCACAATAAACTTCAAAGTTGTAAATATACGGGCATTTTGTTTCCACTACCATAAATATTTTTATTCCAAATTTTGCCGGTTTGTTGGGTAGGTATATAATAAAAACACAGCAACCTCTAAATGCTACGAGATGCTCATCCAACGTCATGTGTTCACTTGGAGTATAAATATTCTAAGCAATGGTTTCTCATATCCTTAATAAAGCACCCTATGGCAGCAAGCTTATCAATTTCTTGTCTTTGAGGGTGATCACGAATGTCATCAAATCGCAAAGATTGTAGTAGGAAACAAAATCTATTTATAGACATTGTCAGATAGACCAGTTCAAAGCCGGTCCCAATGGAGCTGTCCCAAAAGTCTCTAAGATTTTGACGTCCTGATCTATTGGCTCCGATTACTATAAGTAACCCAACAAACGCTCTCATTTCATTAACATTTGTAGGCTTTGCATCTCGTTCTCTTTGGTATTTAGTATTTATAGTATTTATATATATATATATATTTGTACAGTTTACCAAGGATTCAAAAACATCAGGGTCAAAAAATATCTCGAAACATTGAAGGGATGTGCCAGCATTACAAGCAGTACCTTTTGGTCCTAAAGGTCTTTGTATAATATTGTGAGAACGTACCCTTGTTGCAGGAAATAGACGTTTCCTCCATTCTGTTTCATTTCGTGACATATAAGTGGCTAAATCAGCAAGCGGTACACTATCATCAGAATCACTATTGTTTTTATCCAGCACAATCTCATCATTTTCATCATCTTCTTGCTCGGTGTCAGTGCCATGTGGAAAATATTTTCTGCCATTCTCTGGTCCATATTTCCGATCTGTTTATCAAATATCAACAAAAAGTAAGTTTACAGTTTATAAATATAATACCAAAATTTTGAAGAAAATATAAATATTTATGTGAATTTAAAAACATATTTCACACCTCAAAAGTTCCACCAGTGCACGTGGGCTAAATACCTTTAAATTAACTTTAAATTATTATTACTCGCACGTGCGCCAGCGTCGAGTGCTCACGCCACACTAAACGCGTCGAGCTACAACCAATCAGAGCTTAGCTAGAGGCTCAAAGTTAAATCACACGATTTCGTAAAGTTATGAACAAAAACAATACCCTGGGCTATGTGTGTAGGCTGCGCATGTACTCGGGTGTTAATGATGGTAATACACATTTCATTTTAAGTAAATGAGCATAATAAATTAAATTTCATTTAATCTCTTGGACGAAGAAGCTAAAGTGGTAATGAGTCAGCCATATTTTGAAGTTTGAAGAACAGTTTGAATACCCGACAATAGATGGGGAAGAAAGGTTCTTGAGTGGCAACCTATTACTCATAAGTGGAATGCATGATGTCCCCCAATTGGATGAAGTGACAACCTTTTAAGACACATAGGAAGTAATTGGATGGAGGTTGCTAAGTATTGTACGTTGTGATGTTCCTTGTGGAAGGGCTTTGTTTGGCAGAGAATTTTTGCTGTTATGATCATGAAATCATCATTTCAGCATCACATTATGGAGAAGTATTTCACTGTTGTATAGTAATATTTTGCATATATTTCCCTAATAGAACAATTATAATAAAGCATTTCTATTCACCCCTCAGTTTAAGCTGTTCACCTTGAATTTGAGAAAAAAATGGGTGCCACTATTCTGATTTTGCTTTAAATATGAGTAATTTAATGTTGATATTTGAAGAGATAAGAAACTTAATTGACCAAATAAATAAATTTATAACAAGATAACTCTTATTAAATTGATATTTAAGACAAGTTTTACATGGCTTGAAATTACTTATACATATAAATTCACTTTCTTTTTCAGCTTCAAACAGCTTTTTTTCTTAATGTAATCAAAACTTGCAGTTAATTTATAGGTATCTTGAGTAAAGGAAAATGTTGCTGTGTATTAAGTAGTAGAACTGAACACATGTTTACTGGCTGTAGATAAACAGAGATAACTTTATCAAATTGCCAGACTTGTTTCTATTCACCCTGCAATTTCTATTCAACTCATTTGAGTTAATGTTTATGCACATAACTATTACCTACCTACAACATATAGGGGATAGTGTGGGAATTGAGAACACTTAAATTAATATAACAATAAAAACTATAACATTAGCAGTAATCAGTATATTTTTCAATATAATTAAACTTTGGTTATATCCTTACAAAATTAACATAATCTCTTATTTTTAACTAATCAACTACTATTAAATATTTAAATAAAAAAGCTTGCTGTCCATAGCTACCCAGTGTATATTGGGTAAATGCGGACACCAGTTGGGATAACTGCGAGTCCTCTGGGGCAATTACGAACTATTCTTTTACATTTTAAACTTTATTATTCTTAACAAAATTACAAATATAACCACGAGACTTGGACACCACACAGGCTATCTCTTTTGCTGGAGATGACACATTCAAGTGATAGCAGAGTATTTAATATTTTTGTATCTTCCTTCTCTTGCATTGTGTTAAATTCTGTAGATATTTTTTTATTTATTTTCTCTCAATTATACAATAAACATTTTTTTTTATCAAACTGCAATACAGTTTGTCAGCAGTAGTTCTCATCTTACATGCTTATGTTTATGTAATAATTTGTTATACAAATACTAAAAATCAACTAACATCTATGTTATTTTCTATATATACATATTTAGTACAATGTGTGATCTACATTAGAGGTCTACATCAGCCAAATATTAAAATTGGTTCATTAGTTTTTGAATTATTACATACATTCATACATATACATTAATTCAACACACATTGTTGCATTTAACTCCTTTCTTGGACTTCTTTTTCTTTATAACATTTTTTTTAATATTCTCAGTCTTTGTTCTCTTTTATCTACTTCGACATGTTTAACTTAATTCTTCATTCTTAATATTTTTTCAATTTCTGTTTTTCGGAAGTACTAGTTAGTACAGTCTTAATTTTCTTACAGAGGGTTTATATGAGTGTAGATAAGGTATATTCATAGTATCAGATAAAGGTTGCACATGTATGGCATGAACTTGGGCTTGTCCGTTACAGAAATTATGCATTGTGTGCTCATGCATGTTATCACCAAAACTCAGATGCAACCCAAAATTTTTTCTTATGCAGAAGATGAATCCAAGCAGATTTGAAACTATTCCTGCTTTTCCCATATTTGTGGTTGGAGGAAAGACAAACAACATCAAATCGTCAAATGTGCTGATTTTGGGCACCAGGGTTATTAATTGTGAGTGTTTCATACTTCTCAAGCCAAGTGGTAACGTGCTGTTGTCACCATATTGTTGTTACTTTCCTTTTTTAAGTGGTGAAACTTAGTGGTCGGTAGCATTTCTTGATAGTTGTCTACCACTTGTGCATTAACCCCATTCTTTTAAGTGTGTATTTCTTATCCATTTTTTTTTAAATACAGAGCAACCGAAATAGGTAATTATATATATATCTATTCATTTATTTATTTAAAATACTGTTTATTGCACACAACACACAAGCAAAGAGATACACCAGGCACTACATTATTTTCATTCCAAATGTTAAATTTTTAAATGAGAGTGATTGTGGACATCCATATTTACCTCACCTCAGATGTCTGCAATTGATCCAACCATAGAATTTGTACACCTGAAATATTTTTGAGTTTATGATAGTTCATGTGTTTTTTTTTTACAGTTATTTAGTAGGTATTTAGTACAGTTTTAATGGTGTATCCCTTATTTTTGTGTTAGAAGTAACGTGTCGGTAATATACATATCACTGCATATACATGTCAATGAAAATAGCCAAAAATTAAAAGAATAGCCATAAAAAGTTTGTTGGTACATACCTTGAAATGCGTGTTCATCCTTCCATCTTAACTACTGTCCGTGCACTAAAGGTCTAATTCTTTTTACGTAATAATAAGTTTATTACTTTTATCTTGGGTAAAAAATACAAGGAAATAACTTTATTATCTTTTATTTAAAGATACTGATCAATGCAAATTCAAATTCTAGATTAAGAATTTTAATTTCAGGTGGTGAAATAGAAATTCCAGCTGGTAAGCAAGTGTACAATTTCACATGTGCCTTGCCGCCAGTACTCCCATCCTCTTTTGAGGGTCAGTATGGCTATGTTAGATACACTATTAAAGTAACTCTGGATCGTCCTTGGAAATTTGATCAGGAGACTAAAATTGCTTTCACTGTCATCAATCCTCTGGACCTTAACCTTAATCCTTCATACAAGGTAGGTATCATTCAATAAAATTTCGTTAGGGGCATACCTTTTAAATTTTAGAATAGAACTAGCGGGGAACAGCCGCGACTTCGCCCTCGTGGAATTTATTACGATTGGATTTCATGGGTTTTCATTTTCTTGCGCGTAACCCTAATTATTTTACGAAAATAAAAGTAGCCTAAGTTACCCCTTATAACATCAGCTATCTGCCAGTAAAATTCCTGCCAAAATCGGTCTAGCCGTTTCAGAGATTACCCAGAACAAACAGACAGACAGACAGATAAAAATTCTAAAACTTGTAATTTTGTTATAAGTACCGTATATACTTTCATATGCATTTAGTAAAAGCTGTTATTTTGACATTACAAACAGAAACTTTAATTTTATGAATACTTATTGAAGGTCGTTATGCTGTCATCATTGGTTCTGAAAAGACCTCTGTTCTGGTAAGAACCACTAAGAAACCCAGCAGAATTTAATAACTGTTTTTTATAGGATTGGGTGATAAGCTCACAGTCCACCTGATGGTAAGTGGTTGCTGTGACCCATAGACATCTACATCTATTCTCAATAAAGAATTAAAATGCAGATGCGTTGTAAGCCGTGAGTACTAAGGCGGAATGACTCATTTCCAGTAAAATAGGGCTCCGGTTCTCTACATTCACCATACAAAACACAGTAGCAAGCTGCTATTTTATGCTGGAATTCTGTGAGAGTATGGTCCTTCCCTGGGCAAGCCGACCCATTCGTGCTACAAATATATAAGTAGTATAGCTGCAGCATGGCTAGACTACGTAATAAAAACGGGAATTAATAACATTTTAAAAGTACTCAAGTTATTGCACTTGGTTAAAAATGAAAACCTGTCACATAATAAGTATTTACTTGTGTATTGTAAGAGGCGTGAGTGATAGGCCAGAAAGACCTCTGTGATCTTCTATTGAGGGTCTTGCATCTCTTCTTCTGCATCTCATCTTGCAACTCATATTTACCAAATGTAAAATCTGAGCACTAAGATGGAAAGCCTGGAATTTGTAGAAGTTAAAAGAGAGCCAGAAGTTCTGTTGTATTAATATTAACATTGTTATCTAATATCTCAATATTCAAAGTTCATAATTTTAATATATTTTTACTTTAATGCAAATAAATACAGTTTATTATGGTTGTGATATGATGATTTAATCGGTTTCATATTGAATGGCTATTCCGGCACTTAATTGACATTTAATTAAATGACAAATTTTTTAGTCATTTTTTTTTATAGGAGAGGGGGCAAACGAGCATGCGGCTCACCTGATGGTAAGTGACTACCGCCGCCCATGAACAACTGCAACACCAGGGGAATCGCAGATACGTTGCCGGCCTTTTAAAAAGGAGTACGCTCTTTTCTTGAAGGTCCCTAAGTCGTATCGGTCCGGAAAAATCGCTGATGGTAATCGATTCCACAAGGAGGTCGTGCGAGGAAGAAAACATCTTCTAAATCGCACAGTGGTGGACCGCCAATCATCCAGATGGTGTGGATGGTATCGGGAGTTCTGCCGCGATGTGCGTTCGTGAAATTTGGCGGCTGGGATTAATCCGAACAATTCCTCAGAGCACTCCCCATGGTAGATGCGAAAGAAAATGCAAAGGGACACAACATCTCTTCGCAGTGCCAATGAATCGAGCCGATCGGAAAGGGCTCGGTCGTCGACGATTCGCGCAGTTCTGCGTTGGATGCGGTCAAGTGGAAGGAGCTGGCACTGGGGAGCCCCTGCCCAGAGATGGGAACAGTATTCCATGTGAGGCCGAACTTGCGCCTTGTAAAGTTGCAGGCGGTGTGCCGGCATGAAATACTGTCCCGCTCTGCTGAGCACGCCAAGCTTTTTAGAGGCCAATTTGGCCTTCCCTTCCAAGTGACCACGAAACTGCACGTCACTCGATATGTCGACTCCGAGGATACCGATACTGGCTGAGGCAATAAGGGGAGTGCCTTGAAACTGAGGAGATACGACAAAGGGGTTCTTTTTAGCGGTAAACGCGCAAACTTGAGTCTTCTGAGGATTAAACTGGACTAGATTTAGTCGCCCCCAATCCGAGACTTTGCTCAGCAAAGACTCGACTTCAGACACAAGTTTGTTCCGGTACTCAGCGACGTTTTCCCGAGAAATATTGGCACGGCCGGTGTATAGAGCATCACCAGTGCTGTCATCCGCATAGCAATGAATGTTACCAGTTAGCAACATATCATTGATATGCAGAAGAAACAGCATTAGTGATAGCACACAGCCTTGTGGAACACCAGCGTTAATAGGCTTGTAGTCAGAGCATGCACCGTCTACAACGACCTTGATGCTCCGATCTGCAAGGAAGCTGGTGATCCAATTACACAATTTCTCGGGAAGCCCATAGGAAGGGAGCTTCGAAAGAAGCGCTTTGTGCCAAACCCGATCGAAGGCCTTCGCAATGTCCAGACTAACGGCCAACGCCTCCCCCTTGGACTCTACTGCCTCCGCCCATCTATGGGTCAGGTAGACCAGAAGATCACCAGCTGATCGACCCCGACGAAAACCGTATTGGCGGTCACTAATCAGCTGGTGATCCTCAAGGTACCGGATGAGCTGGCAGTTAATAATGGATTCCATTATTTTGGAAAACAAGGAGGTGATCGCGATAGGCCTATAGTTGGATGGGTCTGAGCGGTCGCCTTTTTTAGGGAGCGGGTGGACAAAAGCTGTCTTCCATGAATTCGGGACTACGCCTTGGGAGTAGGAGTACCGGAAAAGACGCGTTAGGACCGGTGCCAACTCCGGAGCACACGTCCTCAGCACAATTGGGGGGATTCCGTCAGGCCCACTCGACTTCTGGATGTCCAGGGAGAGCAGTGCTTTGCGAACCGAGCGCTGTGAGAACAGCACATCCGGCATGGAGCACTCACACCGCGGGATGGTCGGCGGTGTTTTCCCCCCGGCATCAAGAGTCGAGTTGGACGCAAAAAGGGAGCCTAAAAGGTCGGCTTTGTCTTTTGCGTTATGGGCCAGTGAGTCATCCTCCCTGTGCAGAGATGGTAGTGATGGCTTACAGAAATTCCCTTGGACAGCCTTGGCGAGAGACCAGAATGCACGGGTTCCCGAAGGAAGGCGAACTAGCTTCTCGCCAATTCTGCCTATGTGCTCTGACTTTGCTTTGGCAATAACTCTTTTGAAGGACCTGGAGGCGAAGTTATACTTCTTTTTAAGTGTGCTGGTGTTTACATCCCGAGTCGCCGAAGCCGCAGCCCAGGCTTGATAACACTCCTGCTTACTGCGTAATGCAGTCTTACAGGAGCGACCAAACCAAGGCTGAGATCTGCCTCCGATGGGTACCACAGATGATGGAATAAATAGTTCCATTCCCTGTAGCACCAAATCAGTGACAGAGTCAGCAACAGCGCTGGGATCGTCCGGCGAGAAGCAAACCCGCCCCCATGGATAGGATGCAAAGAAAGACCGCATTCCGTCCCAATCCGCCGACCTGTAATGCCAAACACGGCGGCAACCTGCAGAACGCAACCGCGAAGGGAGCGTGAGTGGCACCACACTCCGGATCAGACAATGGTCCGAAGAACCGAGAGTTGCATCGACGGAAACCTGATATCCGTCCGGATGAGAGGTCAGCAGAAGGTCCAACAGGGAAATTGTATGATCCTCCACATCTGGAATCCGCGTAGGGGAAGTAACCAGTTGTGTCAGACCATATGCCAAGGCAATCATTACTTTATAGAAGCGCATTTAACCCATTTGACCTAAAGTCAGAATCAAGAGCTTTCAAATATTCCGATTTATTTTCTTTTTGCCACTATGGTGCTAACTTTCATCAACAAGATTACTTCAAAAGCTATTACAATTAAACCGATGAAGAGTAGATTATGGAAAACACCAGAAATACCCTTTGGCTAGCGATGCCAGAACTTTAGCAAATTCTACGAAACAGAACTAAAGCAAATTCAACCCACAATGAAATAGACCCATGAACAAGCTGATAAGGAAGAATAAATTTTTATTTAAAATAATTTTTATTTTTAGGAACCAATACACATGCAAATGGAAAAGACATTTTGCTGCTTCTGTTGTACGTCACTTCCGTTGTCATTGGATGTGAGAGCTCCTGTGTCAGGGTACTGTCCCGGACAAGTGATTCCAATTCAAATAGACGTTGATAACAAGAGCAATGTGGATCTGAATCTTGTCAAGATATTCTTGAGAAAGGTGCGGCATGAGGATGTTTTTAATTTTATATAGATTTTCTTATAGTTTCCAAATGTAAAACAAGTGGTAAAATTAAAAATTTTGTACAACCGACTTCAATATAAATAAAATGATAACATGATCTATGTAGTGTGTATTAAATATAAATTAATAAGGATAACTCAAAAACTACTGGTCGGATCTAAATCAAATTTATATGGGACCACATGAGAAGCACCAATCATCAAAATCGCTTCACCTAAAAAAAGTACAGTGGTATTAGTAAATCTTCCTTTTTTTGAAGTCGGTTAATTAAGCTGGTACAACAATATATTGGTTTTTTACTGATTAACTGGGAATATGTAGGTACAAACAACTGTTTTTAACTATTTTAAGGTAAAATGAAATGTATAATAATTATGATTATTAACTTCCTTCTGCGTAGCATTGAAAGGAAGTTAATGGTTTTAGCTGGCAGTCTGTTAGTCTGTATGCTGACACGATAACTTCCGTTCCACGTTCGTTCCGTTCCGTTTCCGTAGAAAAAGCGTCATACCACCTAGTGTAGGTAATTAACTAACTTAGCTCAATTTAACTTGATGTATATAAGTTGTAACTTAAATTTTACTTTTAGGTGGTCACATATAGAGCGACAACACCGTCTACTGTTACAAAAAAAGCGAAGGAGGTAATATTGACCATTCAGCAGGGTCCTGTGCCAGCTGGCTCTACAAACCACTGGAATATAACCATGGAGGTGCCACCTCTGCCACCGTCCAACCTTGTTAATTGTAGCATCATTGATTTAGATTACGATTTGAAGGTATTTATATTTCAATATATCTTAAGGCCTCATGCCCACAAGACGGTTTTACGCCGGAGCTAAGCCCGGCGTCAAACCGGGTCTACGTCCGGTCGTGAGTATTGTATGGCTATGAAGCCAATCACACGACACCGCGCAGCCGGGCACGGTGCTCGCCTCCATGAAACTGGGTCGTATACAAACCGTCTTGTGTGCAAGCTCGGACGGTTACTACCCGGCGCCGGCAAAAATCCGGGCCGTTTTAAAACCGTCTCGTGGGCAGGAGCCCTTAGGCTTTAGTAATAAAATGAAATATCCATCGGAATGAGTTTCAAAGAAACAGCATACCATTCATTTCAAGCTCTATGTATTATTAACATATGTTGCCTATGCCACTCCAGAGATTAATATAAATCTAAAGACACTTCACAAATTTCAGTTTCAGTTCAGTGAACGACAGAATACCTTTATTTACTGTATAAGTACATGACATACATATGTTTGGTGGCACTACTGAAATTGTTAATTGCAATTTAAGTGCCGATTTATCAGGTGATTGGCAGTGAAAGAAAATATTGTGGATAAGAATTAGTGAAGTCAGCAAACACGCTCTGGAACAGCGCGATGGACTTACTACTCCAAAAGCATCAGAAATGAGGAGACACAGGCTTTAACTTTACTTTCAGTGTCATTATTGGAAGTAAAGACTTTAGAAATGAGTTGGGGGGTGACTCGGAACTTTAGGCCTAGTCAGTTTGAATGGCCTATCATGTAGAGGATGTCATGGGGGTCATGGTTGAATAGGAGCAAAAAGTTCTCATTACACTCATAGGGAGTCAAAAGGTTCAAAAACAAAAAAAAAATAAAAATTCTTATTTCGGCTATAACTCCACCTCATTCGGAGGTTCTTACACAGTCTTTACTTCCCGCATCTCACTTGTTATTATATTATGTAGATATGATATTTTGTAGATTATAGTTTTAATAATAGTTTTTCAATTTATAGTTTAACATAATTTTTTTAATTTAATTTACATTAACATTTATTTTGTAACATTACTGTAACTTCTTCGATAAAGAATGGGATCGAAAGTGGCAACTCATTGAGCCTGTAATATCCCTCATATGAGGCAATCTGGGGGAGGATTATGTTTAGCAGTGAAATTTAGGCTGTAATGATGATGATGATGATGATGATGGTTACACGAAATAAATATTTCTTCAAATATGTCTTTAAAATTACCTTTATATGATTATATTATTTTATCATAATATTTGATTACACGTAATTTGTTTATAAATATTTAAAATCAGCCAGCTCAGAATGCGCGTCGTGGTAACCTATAATTAAGATAACATTCAGTTTTTAATCCTAGAATATAGAAATATTGTAAAATAATAAATATACTTGTCTTGTTAGTTATCTTCCACAAAAAAAAAATACATAGTAAAATTTTCATTTGAATTACAGGTAGAAGGTGAGGTCTCTGGTATGCACTTCAACATGAAGGATAAGAAATATATAACAATTGGAACAGTGCCGCTGATAGGCATGAGCGGCCAATCTGTCCCTTCAGCTCCCCCGCCAGATTTTGGAGCAAATAATCAGCCTGCTATATTGCCTGTAAGTCCTGGACAGCCTTCGCAACCATCAATTGTAAGTCATTTCTTTATAAATTGCTATTACTCTAACAATACTGTTATTAGAAAGTTTGTTAGTAAATTATGGTATAATGTGCTTATGGTGCTGCCGGCGAAAGTATGCGTTCCTGACACTCATTGCCATACTAATTCTCGCCCATCACTAATGAAGTCGAACTAAGTATGTAAATCTAAGTGTTATTATTTTTTAGAAGTGTCGCAAGAAGATTTCCCAATCTATTTAAAACTTTCACTGATTGTTTCCCTGGCGTGTTTACTTATGTTTAATAACTAGCTGATACCCGCAACTTCATCCGCGTTACTTGATATATTAACAAAGTTTTCGTATTTGCGAAGGAAAAAACATAAAAAAAACACAAAATTTCATTAGAAACAATGCTCCATTTGTAGCTAACATATATAAATTATCTGGGTTAGTAACACTAGAGCAAGCGATGTACATGACCGTGACCGATGACCGTGTGAAAAACCCCATATAAAAATCGTTGTTTCTTAAAATTTTAATAACTTTATATTAAATGAAGATAACGCAAAAATATTTTTTAGATAAGGGCCAAGTGTCTAAGAAATAAAACTTAGAAAACCTAATTGAAATCTATTCAGTAGTTTTTCCTTGAAGCGGAACCACTGCAAACCTTTAACATTTTATTTATATAGATGAGATAATTTTTAACAATAATTTTTAATTATTTTTAACTGGCGAAAGAAAATAAAATTGCGATAGTAATATACGAAATTTGTTAATTAAAAACCAAACCATGAAATATAATATACTTTTTACATATTATGTATTGTGTCCAAATTAACATTTTAATAGCAATATCATAAATTGTATTTACAGAGATAATGCAAAAAGACTTTCTTGTGTTGTAAAAAATGTTGCACGATACATATACGTTTATGACGGCGGTATTGAATATGTATGAAATAAATTTGAAGTGTCCGTCTGTAATTTTGAAATAACTGGCTTCTATTAAGCTCAGGGGGTCTTTTGCATGCTTTTAAGATATTTTGAAAATTTAGTCTGTCCTCGGAATGACTAAAGCGATTGTGATGAAACTTTACGATCCGATAGGGAGCAACGCCAGGAGGGATCTAGGCTATATTTTATCCGAAAAACTTTTGATAAAATTAATAGTCTTTGATTTGTAATGGCATCTAAAATGCTCTTTTATATTAACTATTCAATTTAGCGCTGAACTCTTTCAGTCGATTGTAAGTTGACATTATAATATGTTATTTATTTAAAATTTTGTATCATGAGTGCAATAAACGATAAAATAATTTTTATCGTAAATCGTTTACCACTTCAAGGTTATATCGACTGTCCGATCACGAACTATCAATGTCGCATTCTCTTAGTGGTTGTACACAGAATAAATAATAGTAACTATAATAATAAAAAAATATAATAATAATAATAATATCCTCCAGACTAGGGTTTCCGATTTCTCGAGGTTTTTTAGTTCTCGGGTGTCGAGACTTCTCGAGCCTGATTTCTCGGGTCTTCTCGGGTTGTCGAGAAAAAATAAAATACGTCTAAATTTTTGTTTAATTAATAAAAAGAGTCTTTAATTTAACTGTGTTTATTTTACATGAAAAAAATCAACATAATTTTTAACAAAAAAAACAAGTTCTCAATAAAAAATCAGCTCAAAACAAAATTGCTAACTAAAAACAATCATACTTCTTCTCCTTATCATAACTAATCTCATCTCACTAATCTGTAATAAAAAACAAAATCTCTGTTAACAATCAGCTTAAAACAAACATCTTAACTAAAAACAATCATACTTCTTCTTATTATAACTAATCTCACTAATCTTTAATAAAAAACAAAATCTCTGTTAACAATCAGCTTAAAACAAACATCTTAACTAAAAACAATCATAATTTTTCTCATCATAACTAAAGATCACTCACTAATCTCACTATGTGGGTGGTATTGGTATGGTATCACAATTTTTGGCAGTTTTAATGTAATTAAATAAGAGATATCTATCTACTATTAATACGAAAAATATAACTGTCTTTAAGCCTGCTTATTAATTCTTATGAAATATGCCTTAAGATAAACCAAAGCATTAACAGATTTATCAGACAGCCGGCTCCTAATCTTACTGACCACATTTCCCGATATGGAAAATACCCTTTCATTTTCTGTTGAAGTCGGCTTGACTGAAATTAATGCTTTGTATAGTGTTTCCAGATTAGGGGTCCTCTTGCCTGTTTTTTCAAATAGCAAAAACTCTTTTTTTATAATTGATTTGGAAAGCACCACAGCATTAGTTGATTCACCATTTCTCGAAACACCTTTTATTCCTCTCTCTAATTGAGCTGCAAAGCTGTCTTGTTCAGTTTCTGATTCGCTTACGCCTGCTTCGACAACTTCTGAATTATTTCCTGTCGAAGGTTCTGTAGTAGTGGGAACAGTGGGGTATAGACGATTGAATAAGTCTTCAGCATATCCAATTAAAAATGTCTTGCTATTATCGGTAAAATAAGCACTCTTTTTGAGAATAAAATTATCGGGGCTGTTTAGGTAGCGTAGCAGCGATATTAGAGGTGTATTCCGACGATCTGATATTTTCATTTTAAGAGATTCTACTAACTGAAGAGCCAAAGGGTCGTCGATACTTTCTAATTGTTTTAGCAACACATCTGTTATAGCCTCTGCAGTTAGTAAATTGGCATCTTGTCTGCTCAATGCTTCAACTGCAAGTTTAGTTGGCGTCAATATCAACCGCAATTTTTGTAGTATAGGAATATTTTCCTCCTTCCATTTAAATGAGCTATCTAAATCAATCAAGGCTTTTTTAATGGAATTTTTTAACTTCAAGAAACGCTCAATCATTGTTAGCATTGAATTCCACCTAGTTCTGACATCCTGTAATAAGACTAGTTCGGCCCCGAATTCAGTCTTCACATGTTTTTGTAGTGTGATATTTCTAAGGGGACTCTTTCTGAAAAATCTTATGATCGAACGGGTCTCATTTAGCACTTTGTTTATGTCGTCAATAGGCTGCAATATAGATTCATCATCAGATTCTTCGTCATCGTTATCAGTGCTGGCTTCATCAGAGCTGCTGTGTTCATCGTCGCTAACAGGTGTGTTTCTTCTAGCAACTGTAGTTACTGTTTTTTTTTTTTGCAAAAGGTATCAAGAATAGCCAAATGGATGGCATGGTTTACACAGAGGACCATCTCACAGGGGCTCTCTCTGCCAAATTTTTTCATAACATTTGGCCCGTCGCTTGTTACGGCCAAGACATAATGCTCGAAGTTTACCCCAAAGTATTTCAAACGCTCCTCTACTATTTCTCTAACCTCTGCGGCACCGCATTTTCCGGGTATGTAAACTAGCCCCAAATTGTAAACTTTTGCCTCTGCTGTATGAACACAGACGCTAAAATATCGTCTGTTTCGTATGCTCGTCCACTCGTCAATTGTCACACTTAGCCGGTTTCCTGATGGTGATGTGCAAAGCTGAGAAAGCTCTTTTATCATCTCTTTCTCCTTTTCATCATAAAACTTCAATATTAGGTTCATAACTTCGGTTTGGGTCTTTGGAAGTTTATACCCCTTGGCAGCAAGTGATTCACGGATAAATTCACTTTTAGTAATGCCTCTTATAGTAAAACCATCTTGGGCTGAAAGTTTAGCTAAAATTTCACCTAACGATTTTCTGGGTTGAACGTCAAATTTCAGTGTTTGCTGTACGTGCATAGTTTCAAAATCACTTCTTAATTTTTTTGGTGCCGTCACCCCGGAACTAGACGAACTGGTAGATGCTTCTTCTGTGTCCATTTTAACCTCGGTGGATCTTACATCAATTTTGTGTACATGAGCTAAATGCCTCACTAGTCCGCTTGTGTTTGATCCTTTACAGGCTATGGTTTTAGGACATTTAAGACATTGCGCATTTGAGGCGTCCTTATTTTTCTTGAAATATTTCCAAACTTTGGAAGTTTCCATTTTGGTTCATTAGTTGTAAAATCTATAACAAACAGTTTAAGAATTAGTAAGTATTTTAGTTTAGTACCTACAAAATAGCTGACGCAACAGTGGGGAGGCCTATGCCCAGCAGGGGGTTGATGTGGTTAGGTTAGGCTGATGATGATGATGAAAAAATAGCTGTGTCCTTTTGTATACTACGTTTGGTAGGATTGGTTGGATACGTTTTGTGTTATTTGTAGTAGATAAATTGCCATAAAACAACGTCTTAATATTATGTGTTTAGTTTAGAACTTTAGGCTTTTGTGGGATTATTACAACATCTGCAATACAAATGCAATTAATGAAATCGGTAAATATTTATGCACTAACAATTCTCTTATTTGATTAAAAACAAAAGTTTTATTTCTTTAACATACCTAATATTTTAAACAAAAATATTATTTTGGTAATACAAAAGTACTTACAAAACAAAACAAACACTTGAACTATTTAAATAAATAATAACAATACTTACCTGTTTGTTCTGCGATTCTATTACTCGTGCGTCACTAAATAGTAAATACACTCACTATGCTGGGTTTATGATCCGACCGATCCGAACACGGCGGGAGTTGAAACACGAATGAACAAAATACAACTGAGGCCGCGTCGCGCTTGCGTTTGTCGGCAAAAACAAAGGATACCGACAGACACGAGCCGTGCTGTCAAAGGATGCCGCTGCCGCCTCGCATTTACAAAGAAAGCTAAGCGTAAAAATGTTTATTTAAACTTCTCGATGTCTCGACTTTTCTCGAGCTGAATTTCCCGGGTACGAGACCGACCGATTTCCCGGGAATTCCCGGGACGAGAATTCCCGGGAACAAACCCTACTCCAGACTGAATTTCGGTCAGTGCCAAAGTGTATGTGCAAGCACATGTGCACTCTCTATTCCCTCAACACTCATAGTCCAGTAGGACGGTAAACCGACGCGACCGGAGAGAGATCAGGCGCAAGACCAACGGCTTAACGCGCTTTCCGAGGCACAGGGTTGAGACACCGTCAACTTCCTGACTCCGGTCAGGTACTGAGAATTTCTAGGCGGAAAAACTCAATAACTGATCTTTTTGGACCAACCCGAAATTCGAACCCGTAACCTGATCATCATCAGTCGCGTTTACAACCACTAGACCAACGAGACAGTCCTAAAACAACATAAAACAATAAATCTACTACTAAAAGTAATCAAAAGGGAAATAAAAAAATAATCTAATTCAACATTCAAATAATAAAAAAAAAAAAAAACAAAGCCAATGCTTTAAACATCCCATCATATTATATTTTGTTGAAAAGGCCTTTGTCCTTTAGCGTTAGAGCGAAACGCAACTAACTATACATTCAGTATAGATATTGATCTATTACAGTTTGACCACACCGTAACACGTCCCCGCCACAATCACACACTAGGGTAACGTGAGGTACGTAATTACATAACACCAAAGTATGCAAACCAACAGTAACACTACACATCTCAGTTTAACACATAGCAGCCTGTCATCAACACAGTCTTCCTCGCCCGCACCACAAGAACCACCACAACGGACAGAACCATGATACTATCTTAGCACTACTATTACGTAAAATGGCTAACGGGGAATCCCTCGCGTATGGCGCCTTACAGTGAACTTTATACTGCACAAACGATTGGGGGTTTTTCAATCTACCTGCTTTAGTTGTTAAGTTGTGGATACAAAAGGCCGAGAGTTAGGAGGTTCAAAATTATACGAATTAATATATAGTTGATTTGATTTTGACAGGTGCCTTCAGCCCCGGATGGTAACACGGCGCCAGGTGCTTGGGTAGTCCCGGGTACAGCGCCCGGGCAGCCGCCTTTCCAGTCGCTCTACCCCACTTTAAGTAAGTTAATATATTATGGTGTTGTTTGATTTATGCTACTGTAACAAAAATAATGCTAACGAGGTAATTGTTTTCAGCTGAACCAGTGTATAAGGAATCTCCGTACACGGCGCGTACAATACAAGACCGCGGCGATAGCAACTACGTGACTATAGCGGGCCCGCCAAAATTCGCCCCTTACTACCCAACATATGCCGCTGTTCAGCCCCCACCATTACCACAATAAACCTTGCTTTTATAAAATATAATGTTAAAGGTAACATGCTTAAGTTTGTATTTGACGCTGTTTAGAGAGCATGATTGGTGTCCTTTTTATACAACATTCGGGTGAAGGATATTTATAGTAGAAACGAAAAGTAATTATTTGCAGTCTGATGAATAACGTAAGTAACAAATATTTAAAAACCAAATAATAAATTGGGTTCTCTGGAAACACGGAAATTACTATTAATTTGTATGCCCTAGTGTAACAGAAGTGATAATAAATATCGTGGCAGCTCCTTTAATTTGATAGTTCAAAATAAGTAACAGTAATTTTTATATTTTATTTGCTTTTGAAAAAGAATGTTGTGATCTGCTTATTTTATAAGACGCTGTATAATTAAAAATAAACTGTGGCAACATTCACATAATGCCTTGTGCAAAAGTAGTTTGCTGACTGTATTGTATCTTTATAGTTTGCATGCGTATTTGAATACAAAATAGTTAATTCTTTTTTTTCAATCACATGTGCCGTTACACCATCTGATTTGTCAAGTTCTCAGTTGTGAAGAAAACTGTTGTTATGAAATTTGAATGTTCAAGAAATAAAATACAGTTCAAGAACTAATAAAGTACGTCGTCGGTACGCATATGAGCGCATTAACAGAATTTTCTCTCCTCATAACCTTCAGTAAGGAGACGAGGCCTGTATGCAGCAGCGGCACATTTATATAATATTGTGTTACGTACCTGCCTGCCTAAGAGAATATCGCCCCATTTCATTTCGTAGGTGTCGTAAAAGGCGACTATAAGATAAGTTAAGATCTTAATATGGCTTCCGATAGGCGACGGTGTAACCATCTCTACGCCAGTTAAAATATCCAGAGCAGCGACAGTGAGCACCGTTAAAGAACTGCTCGTCAATCCGCCTGAGAAGCGTGCCGATAAAGACGAATCCCTCTCTAAAATGGGAAATGCCCGTGTCCAACTTACGAACAAAAGCAGTAAAATATTGAATACATAACTGTCTAAATAAAATTGATTAAATACGGGACCCTAAGACTAAAAGCTATAAACAGTAGTTAAAAATACATATTTTTTCAAATAACTTTATGTTATTTACTCCATGCAAAAGTTTTGTTATTGATACCTAATGTTGGTACTATAATAATAATAATGGTAAAATTATATTTGTATACATTCATTTTTATGGTCAAAAATTCTATTTTACATTGTTTGTATATTAATGCTTCCGTTCTACAGAAACCTTTTTACGAAAAAAAAATTAAATTATCACACAAACGTATTGATGTAATCTACTTTTGTTATAAGGATTTTTAAATGTTTATAAATGTTTTATTGAGCATTTTTAAGAAATTTTATAAAAGACCTTTTATGTTTTTATTTATGCTTATTAATATGTTATATTTTTAAGATGTTATTATTTAAGTTTCATGCTCGCATTAAACAAAAATGTATTATTAGATATGTTATCGCTCACAATCATATAAAAACTATTTAACCAAATATTACTTTATTTATGCGCTAAGAATCTCCTACTTTGAATACATAACAGCTTAGCTTACACACAAATAATTTATATTTCAAAAGTATAGATACGTTTAGTTTACGGTTAGAAGACCAACAACATAACCAGCCCTAATGGAGGTGCCCTGTAGCGAGATTGCCTGTACTATATTACTGTGTTATGTAGTATGAATTTAGCTCGGGGTTCATATTCATGCTGTTTGTTAAAAACATAATTACCACTGCCACTGCCACTACCATTATCGACGGCTCCGTGGCGCAGTGGCTTAGCAATGGGTTGCTGCGCTGGGGGACCGCGGGTTCGAATCACGCACGGAACAAGTATTTGTATGGCCTACAAATAATTGTTCCGGGTCTGGATGTTTGTCCTTGTGCAATTTGTGTTTGTAAACTGCCTCCACGGTACAGGAGAAAATCCTAGTGTGAAAAATACTTACGCATAAATATTGTAACCTACCGTTATGTTTCTTTAAATTTGCAATGATAAATTTCTTTCTGTTTCAAATCACAATAAAGGTTCCTTGTCCGTGGTTGTATAATGTTTGTATAATCATTGTAAGATTATTCGTTGACCATTATGTTGCGTATCTTTATTTTTAAATATCCTTTCATATAATCAAATTTAGTAAGTAAATTAAGCTACTATTACATTTCAAACTTTGATATTGTTTTTTTTGTAATCAAAATATATTATTATAATTGTCAAATATACTCGTTTTATTCAGCAACATAGTTCAGCAGTGGACGTGAGCCTTTCTTAAAAGGCTATCAGAATTTTTAAAGATCGGTCAAGTGTAAGGAGCTAGCGGTGGAGAGCCCCAGCCCAGAAATGGAAACAGTATTCCATGTGTGCCTTGTAAAGTTGCAAGCGGTGTGCCGACATGAAATACTGTCCTGCCCTGCTGAGCACGCCAAGCTTTTTAGAAGCCAATTTGGCCTTTTTGGCCTCCAAGTGAACGCGGAACGATGCCAAGAATTCTGATGCTGGCTGGGGCAACATGGGGAGTGCCCTGAAATTAAGGAGATACGACAAAAGGGTTCCTTATAGCGGTAAACGCGTAAACCTGTCTTCTGAAGTTTAAATTGTACTAGAATCGTCCTCAATCCGAGATTTTGTTTATTAAAGACTCGACTTCAGACACAAGTTTGTTTCGATACTCGATGACGTGTTCTCGAGAAGTATTAGCACGGCCGGTGTAAAAAGCATCACCAGTGTTAGAACCAGTAACAGCAACATATAATTGATATAGGTACAGAAGAAACAGCGTAGGTGATAGCACGTAGCCTTGTGGAATACTAGCATTAAAATGCTCGTAGTCGGAGTATGCACAGTCTGTTACGATTTTGATACTGCAAGAAAACTGATGGTCGATTCAATTGCATAATTTCTCGGGAAGCACGTAGGAAGAAAGCTTTTAAAGAAGCGCTGTGTACCAAAGCCCATCGAAGGACTTCGTTATGTCCAAATTAACGGCCAATATCTCCCTACCCTTTGAATCCCGTTCAGTCAGTCAACGAAAGACGAAAGGTACCAAATAAGCAGGTACCCGCAACTTTTGCAAATCGTAGACTATTGTATTATCTATGGCAGAATACCTAGACCCTTTTGTTGCGTCAAACTACAATGCATTTTACCCTCAATCTTGGTAATTATTAATAATGATTGGTTATTATTAACAATTTTCAGTTAATCACACTTACCGTGACATATATAAATATAAAATAAACTAAGTATATGTTAAATATAATACATGAAATTTGGTAAAAGGGTCTATTGGGTTAGGACCACGTTGTCACAGAATACCAGCGTGAAACAACGCAATAATACTGCTGTTTCGTGTGGTGAGCGTAGAGAGCTGGAAACTCTTTACTTATAACGAGACATTCTATCTTAGTTTTCAGTGGTATGAGCCATCAATCGATGTTAGATGTCTATGTGCGCCAGCATCTCTCTTGTATAATAAGTTTAAGCGCTGTGTTATTGACACTTCTCAGCTTTTTTTCAGCTTCTTGATTAATGTCTCATGGTGAACACAGTCGAAGATCTTGAAAAGGTCACAAAATATACCCAAAACATCCTCTGAATTCTCCCTTACACAAATAAAACCGGCCAAGTACGAGTTGGACTCGCGCACCGAGGGTCCCGAACAAATCCGTAAGTATACAAGTTCAAAATTATTAAAAATATTTTTATTCAATGATGTAACTAAACATTTATGCTTTTCCCAATTTTTCCTTTATCTGTCCTATAATATTGTTACGAGCTTGGGGTTCGAGACAAAAACTGCCGATTGAATTACCAAAATTGACACTTTAATTACACACTAATTACAATCTAAAATCACACTAATAATAAAACACAGTTTGCCGTTATTTCGCTTCGAAGTATTCTCTTGTATCGCCAATTCAATACTGCCCCGGTCGTGGTCTATACCGGTCTTATATAGGGCCTCAGATAGTTTCCAGAACCTTCTACTGTAGCGACATCTAGAATGTTCGAGTACATATCGGTCCCGAAATTTCTGGAAGGATCTCGACTCTCCTAGTTCTGCTACTCGACACTAGAGGGCGCTAGTGTAACTAGTGTTGCCATGTACAAGACATTAATAGTGGCGCGCAACACTGCCCCCTCCTAAGACATGTTCGTCCCGAGCATTATTGGCCCCATAATAACGCGCCAGTCGATCCACATGGACAATCTTAGGAGTACCTCTGGCACCTTTCTGTATCCGTTAGGTTACGTCATTGATCCTTGTCACAATCCGGTACGGTCCGTCCCATTTAGCTTGAAGCTTAGGAGATTTCCCTTTGCTGCGAACTGGATTGTGTAACCACACTAGTAAACCTTCATCAAACCCCTTGTTGTTCATTTTGCGGTCATACCGTGTTTTCATCTTCTCAGACGTTTGCTGGCCCGTCTGTCTGACGTGCTCATAAATATCATTCATTTTGTTCCGCAAGTCATTTGCATAATCGGTTATACTGCGTGGGGCATCAGGTGGTATTCCGGTGATCAGGTCTGCAGGCAGCCGTAATTCTCTCCCAAAGTTTACGAAAGCTGGTGTCACTGATGTACTTTCGTGAACAGCATTTCGATATGACAACAAAAACGGTTGTATGTGCCTGTCCCAGTCTCGTTGCCGTTTTTCCACAACTTTTGCTGGGTACCTCTCCAATGTCTGATTAAATCTTTCTACCATTCCATCAGATTGTGGGTGGTAAGAAGTTGTTCGTGTTTTCTGAGTACCCATAACTCGGCAAGTTTCCTGGAATATTTGAGACTCAAAATTCCTTCCTTGATCGCTGTGAATCTCTAAAGGTACTCCAAAACGACAGAAGACTTCATGAACTAGTTTATCTGCAACTGTTGAAGCTTCTTGATTTGGAATGGCGAAGACTTCTGGCCACTTAGTGAAGTAATCCATCACAACCATGAAATACTTGTTACCACTTTCAGTTTCTGGAAACGGCCCCGCA